CAGAGATTGCCCTTCGGGAGCCCGGGTCAAATTTGTTAACTGCCTCAAGAGTATCATGTTTATTTAGAACTTCAAAGTTTGGTAAATTTTTTTTTAACAAAATCTCTAATCTGCAAAACCTGAAAAAACTTGAGGCAGATATATATGTCTACCTGGCATGAACCCTGTTTGGTCAGGATGGATAATAGAACAAATGTGCTCCTTTAATCTATTGGATTTCCCAATTTTGGTTTCGATAGGTAGCAGGGAGATAGGACGATATGAAGAGACCAGGTTAGGATCACGTCCAGGTTTGGGTATAAGTGAAATATTGGCCTTATATAGAGTGGGAGGCAACCTAGAGCTCACCAATGAGTGATTCAGCATTCGTAGGATAAGTGGGGAAAGTTTATGGCTAAGTACCTTGAAAAATTCGATACAAAAGCCATCTGGTCCTGCTGCCTTATTGTTGGGGAGAGAGGAAATCACTTCTTTTACCTCACTCAAATTGATGTCTGCATCTAGTGAGGAGGAAGATTCTTTTGATAATTTAGGCAGTCCCAGATTTTCGAAAATTTTTTCCATAGCCCCTGGATCAGATCCACCCTGTGACTTTCAGAAAAATCAGCAAAACATTAATTAATTCTTTTAGGATCCGTCAGGGGAGTACCATCATTCGTCTTGATAGAATGTATGGACTTGGATGCCTGAGATGGTCTTAACTGGCGGGCAAGTAACCTTTGAGGTTTATCACCAAATTCGAAATACTTTTGTCTTACTTGGGCCAACAAACGTGAAACATTTTTGGACAATATAGAATTGTACTCATATCTTAATGCTGAGATCTTCTTTAGTACTTCAGGCTGATTATCCACTCTATATAGTGCTTCCAGATCTGATAGTTGACTATCTATTTCAGTTAACCTAGCTTTAGATTTTCTTTTTTCCATCGCTTCATAAGACATGATGTGGCCCCTGAGAACAGACTTCATGGCCTCCCAAAGTGTGGAGTCGCTAACTTCACCATTATCATTAGTGTCAATGTAAAGATCAATTTTGCTCGAAAGATAAGAACAAAATTCCTTCTCTTTCAGTAAAGTATTATTTAGCCGCCAGTTAAATTCTCCGTGCGAGAATTAAGCTTTAAGGAAACAAGCGGCGAATCGGTGCGAGGAGAGTATTATGATAAGTGCAATCCACGACTTGTAATTATAATTTAGAATCCAGTATAAAATAATCAATCCTTGAGTAAGATTTATGAACGGCTGAAAAATAGGAAAAATTTCTTGCTGTGGGACTATTTCAATAATATTTTAATTAATGGTGTAGCCCTAAATCAAAGAACATCATCAATACTCAAAATGATCTTCTCCAACTCTTGTCTTATCCCAGGGCTACTGCAACAATATCATGTAACTAGATACACTACAAATTAGCAGAGTTACATCAGCTAGATGTGTCATTGCTTTGTCAAAACAATTTATTAATGAGCTCCTTTGAGATATAATTAAATGACGTGTTATTAACTGTCTCACATTGTAAATTAATCCCTGGACAATTAGTAGACCTCCGGTCGATGATGAGATTCCTTGTTATCTGCTAATGACTAGTGCTTAATAACACCCAGGGGAGGCTGTAACCTGTGACATTACAACTTGTAAACATTTGATTCTTAATTCTAATTAAGTGTGTTAATACATAAAACATTTTAACAGATTAAGTTCACAGTTGAAGTACCAGAACATAGTGTTTGCTTTGTTTTGTTTGTTTTGTCTCCATTCATCTGCAATGTTTTATAAAATAAATGCCGTTTTAAATTAATAAGTCAAATTTCTCAATCAATTAAAAATGTATAACATATTAGAATTGTACTGTTCAGCCTTTTTATATTTCTTTGTATTTCCCAGAAGAAAAATACTAATTGAAACAGCACTGAAGTGGTCACAGAAGGCCATTGGGAACAAGGACCTTGTTCATGAACACAAAAGGGCAGTTAGGACATTAGGACATTACGAAAGACTAATCATCTCACCCAAGAGAAATGGACAAGATGCACCCTTGAGTTGCTTGTAATATATCTGATAATTGATTTGTCCCTCTAATTACTGTCTGTGGTCCTTTTGTACAGCAATTAAAGAAAAGAAAAGTGTATGGTCCGAATCTGCTCTCTGCGGCCTTTCTTTGTAGAGCATACCTGTTCTTTTGGTTCTTTATTCCCAACCCAGACACAGGTTATGCGAGTTTTACCCTCCAATTTGTCCCATAAGTCCACTTATACATAAGAATCAAGTAAGAGACTTGTAACCTCTTTATGTGACATTTCTGTTTCTTTGTATGGAATTTAGTGTTCATTTTTGTTTCCATAAAATTTGTTTGTTAGGTGTTATAATTGGAGAAGGGCCCAGTGTGTGAGTGTGTATGACTGTTACTTTTTCAGGTAGCGAGAGTTAAATGTGTTATTGTTTACTCATATTTATGTGTCCTCCATAGACCATATTGCACCCTGTAATATTATGTAATATTGTAACACATATCATGTGTGAAGCGTCACAATTCTGATGTTCACACTCCTGCAGGGTTTTGGGACATTTCATACTCGCAATTTTATTTAATGTGAATCCAGCAGTAATCAAACTCTATGTCGCCTTGTTCATCAAAAAGAACTGTGACGCACACGGATTTGAATTAAGGCTGACAAACCTTTCATTTTAATCCCTGACCGTTTTGTTGACATGTATTTACGTAGCATTTTTTAAATTTACATTACTTGTTGGGTTTTAGGCGTGAGAGCTATTGAGAGAAATACTGAAAGAGAGGTTGACTTTAGTCACAAAAATGGAGCATCTGACCTCTGACCTTTTGACATTGCCCAAGACTCTTCAACATGTGTCTAAACGAGCTAAATTAAAGGTACATGGTACACTACAACAAGCCTAACTCGTGTTCAGTAAAACACTGGATCGCAAATGGGGAGGGCACTGAATCGATGTCAAATGTCCTCACACTGAAGATAAAAGAGATCAAGATCTAGCTGCTAAGTCGGGATTCCCACATCCACCGGCAAGGTACTGTCATCTGTAAGACAACAAATGCTCTTTGTCTATGTCTATGTTATTTCCAACATATAAAACTGTGGCTATGCTTAGTTGTAGGTTTTGTTGAGCCGTTATTGTACACATGTTTAGGATAAAGGTAGGCATTACTGTGGTGTAACATTTAATTTACATAAAGCAACCATTTTGCATCATCTTTGTTTATAATGCTATTGTCCCCGCCATTACAGAAGACATTTGTGCTCAGATGATTAAAATATTTGTACCAGAGAAGGAGACTGAATAGTCAAAAAAGTAAGTATTGTCTTTAAACACAAATCATTTTAGTTAATGTATAATTTATGTATTTTTGGGCTCAAGAATGAAATGCAAAATAAATAACAGAATGGGACCCAATACGCTAATTTAAATGTTTAACATGTTTTGTTATTATTATAAATAATTACAATTTGACATGATTCAATGTAGACATTTCTTCACCCTTCACTACCTTTACATTTTCTAACATTTTTCTCTTTTAGGTTTTTCATCAAACTAATGGAAATGGAAAGCAACATGACAGTTTCAGCTGATATCCTAGAGATCCAAGGCTTTGACATATCTCCAGAGTTCACATACCCTCTGTTTTTCTTACTGCTGTTTTTCTACTTTTCCCTGCTTTTTTCTAACATTGGAGTTCTTATCCTCATCATCACTGAAAAGAGTTTGCACCAGCCAATGTATATTCTGTTTTGTAATCTGTCTGTGAATGATCTAATAGGTAACACAGTCCTATTGCCTCGGCTAATGGCTCACATCATCTCAACAGAGCGGTTTATCACCTACAACCAGTGTGCGGTTCAAGCCTTTTACAGCCACACGTTCGGATCAGCTTCACATATGATTCTCATCATTATGGCAATTGACAGATATGTGGCCATTTGTCACCCCTTAAGGTACAGCTCAATCATGACCACCAAAACTGTGATTTGGCTGTCAGCAACTGCATGGGGGGTGTCATTACTGCTTGTGTCTGTTCTGATAGGTCTCACAGTGAGGCTGTCCCGTTGTAGATCAGTTATACAAAATGCTTATTGTGACAACGCATCACTGTTCAAGCTTTCTTGTGACAATGTGTCCATCAACAATATCTATGGACTCTTTTTCACTGTGCTGCTGTTTAGTTGCTCAATTGGAGGCATTGCTGTCACCTATTTCCGAATAGCTCTCAACTGCTGGATCAAGAAAAACAAAGAGCTGAATAGCAAAGCGCTGCAAACCTGTGCAAGCCACCTTGTTCTTTATCTCATCATGCTCTGGTCGGGGTTTTTAACAATTATATTGCATCGTTTCCCAGATTACCCAGATTTAAGGAAGATTGCATATATTTTATTTCATGTGGTTCCTGCTAATTTAAATCCACTCATTTATGGAATGCAAACAAGGTCTTTACGGGATAAAATTATCCAAGTACTTCAAAGAAAAGTGACTGCAACCTAATTCCTTCTGTCTTTTGTTCGTACTTTGCTTAAAGCTTGGGTAGGTGATGATGTAACAAGAGACTAGATTTTGACTCTTTCCAAGGTCCAGTTGTCCAAAACACATTTTCATGTGCAATGAGTGCACAAGAAGAGAGCGCACAGGTAAACACTCAAATAGGCTTAAACACAGGCCTGACTGCCACAGATACCAGATTTTCCCTCTTTTTTTTAGAGCATTTTATTTATTGATTTCTGTAGGGATGTAAAGAGAATCTCATCAAAATTACATTACCTACCCTAGCTTTAAGGCTTGGGCACAAAGACACACAGGAAATTGTTACACCTGTTTTAAACCCTGGAACACAAAGATATTTTATATACAGATGCCTGTTTCAATTCAAACAATAATGTAACTTGCAGTTCCTTCTGCATACTCTTGTAAGAATGGGACATTTGTATTTTGTAAGTATATAATAATAATAATAATCATAAACAGGCAAGATTTTTGTTTTCTGTTACCAAATTGCATGTTGTTTATGGATAAATTGGTATTTCTCCTGATTTGCAAGTCAAATGTTTAAACTCAGCAGCAGATTATCATCATAAAGTGTGAAAACAGTAGAATGAGCATCTATACTGATTCCCCTGGCCACCTGTGTGCTAGACCCCAATAAGAAGCTCTCTACTAACACCTTGCGACTTAATCCTAGAATAGCTTCAAGAACCTTGTTTTGTGTTCACTCATTAATTCTGAATATTGCAAAGTTTGTGAAAATCACTAAATTCATAATTTCCACTCCTATAATAATGTAATAGTGAGCAATTAGAGTTACAAGGATAATGGTAATATTTTATGCAGCATATTAATTGTTTACATCTTATTACTCTAAGACTTGAACTTAGAAAAAACTGTCAATAGTGCAGCAATACAGTATAAAAACCTTTTCTTGTTGTATGTATAATATTGTGCATTAAGTTATATAAGCTTGTAACAATACCCAATATACATATGTTCTTGGGTGCTAAAACTCCAAAGGGTGTATTTCTATCTATTTAAAATATCCTAAATTTAACTATTTTTTTAATTGTTTGTTTTTGACCTTTTAATATATAAAATAATATAAGTATGTAATACTGAGTACTAGAATTTCACAAGATTAGGCTGAATATATTATATAGAACTGTCCTTGTCTTTCCTCTGTGTTTGTTGTAATGCAGTCATGTAGGCCCTCAGGGACTTGGATGTTCTTGCTCTTGTGGTCTGATTAAGTTGCATCTCAGTTTAATTCTGTCTGAAAAGCAATTGTCTACTCCTCTGAACATGACAGTACATATTTCTCAAATATTTTTTTACCAAAATCAAAACTGATTCACAGTTCTGATGATGAAGCATCCTGTTTTCCTTTGGGCTCGGATTAAAAAGTCATGGCCCATTTTGCAGCATAAAGACCAGGGATAATACACATCAAGAGCCAAGCAAATGGTGGTGATCTAGGGGATTAACAGATAATCCAGTGAGTTACACTGAGATGTTGATTTCTCGTGTTCTGATTTTATGTACAGAACACATGCCTGGCCATGACAGTCATATTGTCCATCACCAGACTACACATATAAATTGCAGTTATTAATACCTCACGCCCAACTGAATTATTTGTATATTTATTTGTGTATTTATTGTCTATTGTATTATGTATTAAATTCATATAATTAAGCCACATTTTCATTTTTCTTCTGGAAATACAGTATCTGGAACCCACCCAATGTTCCTCAGGGCACCATCAGAACAACAGTTGTCTGTCTTGTTGTTTGTTTCATCACTGTTACCGTTCCAGTAAAATAATTAACTGGTTTCAGGGCTGGGCACCTTTTACTCTGGTTCTGAGACACAATATCCGTAACAGATAAAGAAAAGATATAATGTTTGAAATTTGTGAAGCAGCAATGGATATCATATTTATTTGTCACTTACGGATATATTGCTTTTATAATCCCTTACTATTTTTTCAAGGAATCAAAGAAATCTGTTTTTCATACAACATAAGGTTGTAAAACAAAGTTTACAGTTCCTTAATGCTACACACATAGAAAAGGACAATTACTTAATTGAATAATATAGTTTAATAAATAAACTAATAAATGAAAAAAAACTATATACAATTATTTATACATACATACACGTACACAACCAGGAAATAATTCTGCAGTGCATTGTTAGGTTTGCGTCTTGGGGAACATAAACAGCAGCAACACAATTGTGATGATAATATGGTTTCATCTTCACATAAAAACAAACAGTGTCCATCCACTTTGATTGCGATTGAGCACCAAGCATCATCATCATAAACACAGACTCCACCTCCTCTCATCCTGCGCGCTTTAAGATACAAAGAAATAAATGTTGCAAACAAATAATTATTTCATTTATTTAAAATAAAAGCACAAAGTTGTGGAAAATGCCATCAGTAGAAAAATTTATTGATTTGCCAACAGTCTAGCTATTTGTCAGCTGAGCTTTGTAACTTTCACACAGCACTAGGACAAAAGTTGGGGAATGCAAGTTGTCAAACACAAACTTGATCAAATATAAACTTACTTATAGTAGGGTCAGTGATGACATGGCCTCTAGAAAAGACCATTTCTAAGAGGTTTGGAAAAAATCTTAATGTTAATTATGGGGGAAAATGTAGTGCTTCATGAATCCTGTGCTAAACTGTAATAATCTCTCTCTTATATACACAAATTAACACTTAAAACACACTTCTCAGTTCTGCAGTTAGATGACTTTGCCCATGATGAGAAGGCTCATGAGAAACACCATTATAAAAAATATCCACATAAAGAAGCGGTCTAAAACTTTGGCTACTTTCTTCCACTCCCCAGTCCTTTTCTGAGTGGCCCTCTGATCTCTGTAACAGTTGGCTATGTACTCAATGTTACGCAGCAGCTGCTTCTCATTGCTTTGGGTGCAGGAGATCTCTCTGTCTTTTCTCTCTCCATCACTCACACCTCCCTTCCTGCATCTCCTCTGACTCCCTGAATCTCCACAGTCCATGCTCATGAACATGCCATTCTTCCAAGTACTGTATTGGTTGGTAGGGTTCTTCCCCATCGAGCCTATCGGACTCATCATCTGATCAACGTCCTCCCTTTCCTCTGCGTTCATGGGGCCCACTGTGTCTTGTCCTCTGTCCATTTCCCTGCATGGTCCTGCCTGACCATTCATGGTGCAGTTGGTGTTCTTCGGAAGTTGAGGTTCCTGTTTCTCCAACTGTGGCGACATGCAGTTCTCCCCAACTTCATAAACAAAACACATTCTGGCCATGTGCTGCAGAATGACTTTCTTGGCCCACTTGGGAACAGGCTTGGCATCCGGGCCACAGTGGTGTATGTTCATGATAAAGATGGTCAGGGCAGTGGAAGCTGTGATCATTGTCATCGTCGCAATGTAATATTTTCCTGTGGAAGAAATTAAGAAATCACCACAGGTCCTCATACCTTAACAACTGAATAGGTTTATTGCCAATGACTCCCAAAATGACATATATGACCATTCCCAAAGTGACATATATGATCGTTGGAGAGTACCAGCGACAGGCCTACCGGAAAACAAAACTACATGGTTAGGTTCAGGAGAGGATCATGGTTTGAGTTATAATAAGTACGTTAGTTAAATAAGTATATAAACATAAATATATATTATGTGTAAAATTTGTTAGTTTAAAAAAAAGTTACAGGGGCGGTGCCAGACAGACATTTATGGTTTAGTACAAACCAAGGAAACCTCCCCATTTACAGCAGCTATATGCTATATGTTTTTCAAACCATTTGAGAAAATAGAAGATCCATCCATCCACCCTTACTTCCTTCATACATGGAGTTTTTATACTATGTCACCTGACTTCCTCCTTGGCTCCCGCCATAATTATTACAGCCACTAGAGGTCGCAGTCTAACATAAACATAAATATGGGTCACAATAAGCTGCTTCCACATACAACCTGTGAGATGTGTTGGGATTTGACCCCATTTCATTTCCCTCACCAATAAGTGGCACGTTCTCAGAAGGTGGCATAATCTCTGCAACCAACAGCTGAAAGACCGTGAGCGCCAGCATCACAGTGACGCCCAAAGACACCTTCTCTCCAGAGTCAGCAGGCAGGTAGAAGCCCAACGGAGCCAGGAAAGAGATCATCACACATGGTATAAGCAGGTTGAAGACATAAAAGGAAGCTCTTCTCTTCAGTTTCAGTGTGTAGGTCACATCAGGGTAAGGGTCAGCGCAGCAGCCATACTGAATAATGTTCTTCTTAGCTGGCATACCCTGCACCTCCCACTCCACATTGTCCACCAGGTCAGCCAGGTCAGCGCTCTCCATGGCGTTCAGGATGTCCAGCTGGTTACCGTTGTAGGTCCAGGAGCCGTATGTGAACCTGCACTGCTGAGCATCAAAGGGGAAGAAGGACACGTCTACTTTGCAGGAGCTCTTGGTGATAGCTGGGGAATCCCACATTATCTGGCCGTCATGTCGGATCACCACATTGGTGTCCATGGGGCCAGTGAAATGGTCATCAGCACTGAAAGACAAAGAAAACTGGTCTGGAAAAAGAAATGAGAGCAGCAGTGTTTTGGATACCTTTAAAAGAAACACTGAAGAGCAGCTGTCATTTGCAGGAGAATTGTTTGAGACTTGATCATGATACAAAGGCACAAGTACACCCACTGAGAGAAGAGTGAAAACATTTAGGAGAATTGTGCTCATTCCTCAGGGTTATGTCTGCATTTTATATCTTTTCAGTAAAAGTGTTTGTGTTCACATGTGTTTTTGATTTTAACTGTAAAATGTCAATATGTGTTGTTTCTGGATTATTATTAGTTATATTACTCATTTATAAAAAGCAGACAAAGGCCTGGACACTCCCATAAATAATGGCTTCAAGGAATGTTCAGCTTGTGCCTTTTATACTGACCAAAAAATAATTGCATGATTAACCCAATACCAGTCCGACCTACTTGTTATATAGGACTATATCAGGTCTCCATACATAACTACTAGGTATGCGGATGGTATCAAGTCCATCGTATTCATCTTTATTCCATTTGAGGTATGCATCAACCCACACTTGCCGTATCCATAAATATGCTGTCAAAATTTGGTTTCGCTCATCCTGTAAAACATTGGAGATTATAGAAAATAACTGACAACAACAGGGGACATATCACAGGTAAAACAGAAATACGATCAAATATAACAAGGGCATTATTGATTTGATGCTATTGCGCAGGTATCTGCACAGATTAATTTTACACATACAGTCTTTCCGTGATTTATGCACTGTGGTGTTTTACCATGTCGATAATTTGTGACAGTGTCACTTGCAGGGTCACATTCAGTATGTTGTTTGTGTCCTCCACAGGCCTCAACGCACTAGTATAGTTGGTGAATAAATCATTCAGGAGCTTCTGAGCGTATTTCCCATGAGCACACCAACAGGCTAAGACAGGGAGAGAAGCAATTTAAAGTCATATCATATAGCAAAATTAGATATTTGGTTAAAGGGACATTCTGATGTGATCGTTTTTGAGCTATCAATTTTCCGGTGATATTGAGAGCAAACTCAGCGATGGAAGGATGCTGAGGTGGGAAGAAATGGTAAAGATGAGAGAAAATGTGAATGCATGGCAGATGGTGTAAGGGGACAAAGGGGATGTCAGGCTGGATTGCCCTTCTATAAAGCTCTAGAAAGAGATCAGGCAAATCTGCCATAATGTACTAGCAGCATCTATCTCTGTTCAGAGATCAGTTCAGTGTATGTGGAGTTTAGCATGTGTTTATAGAACGCTTAATCCATGGAAATACAATTGAGCCTGAACAGGGAGATTAAACATCTTGTACTGTGTAAACAGCAATGATAATAATTATTCAACAAAAGAGCTTTTATTGATATGGCTGTTCATGTTTTATAAGGAATTATTCATCCCACTTCTACATTCAACTCAAAGTTACCAGGAAACCTGAGAGGAGATGTAGGCTATGAATACTTTTTAAAATGGAAACGCTATCCTTCATATTCTAACTGGAGCTAGTTTCCAGTGTCAACAATGGATTTGGGATAGCCAGATGTTAACCCTGAAACACTGTTTCAATAAAGCCTCTCACACAAAGAAGGTCTATGGGATTATGATGATAGCAAATCCCTCAACAACTGGCTGCAAGTTGGCGAATTCTGGGTAACAGAGAGGAATGGAAATCTGAGAAGAAATCTCAGACCCATAAAAGATTAAAATTATGATGATGTTAATAAAAATGAAATACAACCAATATAATACAATATTTTATGCAAATATTCTGAACATCTCATCATCTTTTCTGGCACAGCGTTGAAAGAGAAAATAGACTATCAGCATCTTAGATCACATGAGGTAAACTGAAATATAAAAATGAATGGAAACTTACTTGGCAAAACACTGACACACAGAAGCAAGAGAAATAATGTTTGGATTCTCCATAGTTTCATCTTGCTGAAACAAATTATGTCGATCCAAAAACCATTGGAGCTGCTCTTTGCACAACAAGTTTGGTTCTCTAAAAACCAGAAACAGAAAGTAAAGTCAGTCTGATAGCGGATGAAGCTGTACTGAGTACTTCTACTTGAGCAAGTGCACCGATAATACTCAAAACGGAGAGAGAGGCGGGGCAGCCGCCACATGTTAACCCCGTACACACAGGACATCACGCACACACACAGCCTACAGTGTCTTCAATAGGATATGTTTATGGGAAAATAATAATAAAAAACGACAATTAAAGTCGATCCTTTTTAGCCTACAGCACCACGGAGAGCTCTCAGCTTAATCCTATTACACTGAAGAAACCCCTAATTTTACTGTTTTAGTTTTTACATTGTGGCTAATTATTATTATTATTATTATTATTATAAGACATGTTTTATACATATATCTCTTTTTTGCCATATGCTCTGTGATCTGTACATTGGGTTATTTTTAATAGGCGGCTCCGCCCAAACGCAGCAACCTCAGCAGTCTCCTCCGCTCACTTTCTCTTCCGGGTGCGGGTGCTTTTTATGTATTTTCCTCCTGATGGCTGTCGCACAAGGAAGATGTTGCATCCGCGGGCCTATTGTCATCTTCTGGGAGCATTCAGCTGAAATATAGCCTAGTGGATGCAGAAATGTCGCAGGAATATAAAATGGCTGGATGATCCCCTGCTGTTTTTTTTTTTTTGTTTTTTTGTTAAAGAACACTGCACCATGTTGTTGGTATCCGAAGTATTCGGGTCCATCCTGCAGCCTCATATGATTAATGTTATTTAAATAGCCAAGTGTGTGTAGAAATAATTGTATATACAGTACACCTAGTGGAGGTAGGTCGATTGGATTTTTTTCAGACTTTAGATGCTCAGTTACTCAGTAAATGCATGCATTTGTATCAAAATGTCCCCAAATAATTATCAATAGTTATATTCATATCCATATGTAGCTTATTATAGGTTTATATGTTGACTTATTACAAAGTTATTACCTGTGTGTGATCACCTTTGCAAGATAATGTCCCTAAATAGGACTTGTTCACTGTTTCAGACCAAGATGCTACAAGGCTCAAATATATTGGGGCATGAGAGACCCCTGGTCATCAGGGCATCATTCACCACCTGTGTTCTGGTTACTGTGTGCCTGCCACTGCTCGGACTAATAACTTGTGTCTTCATATCCTTTGTTTTTCACTTTGAGGACTCTACCGGTACACACTGCCAGGTAATGTCCTAATTTCCCATGTTTTTCCTCCTTCCTGGCATTTTATTAACTCGACTAAATCAAATTACTGTGCGTTTCCAGGTTCCTAATTACCTGCCATCTATCAGTGCCTCGATAAGCCTAAGTCCTGAGTGCCACATATGGCGGTTCTGTATCGGACTGCACTCAGCACCGAGGTTCCTGGTGGCGTTCACCTACTTCAGTTTTTACAAGACGCGTTTTGCCTCGAGGTTCCCTGAGAGTCCGCTCAGCTGCTTGAACCTGGCCTTTTCTATTACTGAGAACCTTGGCCTCTTGCTCCTCACATATGTATCATCCAGTGAGACATACTGTGAGTAATGAAGTTGCTTTTAAATGGGTTTTTATGGTTTATGAAAGCTACAAATCAAGCCTAGACTCTCCCTCACCTGTTCAGCAAAATAAGGAACCTTACATTAAATAAGTAATATAAAAAGGAACAGCAAAGTATTATACATTCAGTACGATACAGATTCAAAGTTTAACTCTCATTTGGCGATTCATTATTACAATTACTGTCCTTTACTGACCAAATTTCCCTCTTTCTTTGTATATTTTTGCTCCTCAGTTGTACACAAGGAAGGTTTTGTCCTCTTCATTTTCAGCTCCATCATCCACATGCTGATAACGTGCCGCTTATGGAAGTCTATTAAGAAGTATTCATTAAATCCTGACGTAAGAAATGCCAAATCACACACAGCAGACTGAAATCCCTCATGTATGTCAGTTCGATTCACTATTACTGTTTCTTTTTCTCCCTAATAGGATGCCAAGTCTCACCATTGGAAAGTGCGTTTCTTACTTCTCAACGTATCCTTCTGTGCTTTTGCTGGCTTCTTTTATGTGAAACACAATATGTACTGTGAATCAGGGAGTAAGTATTAAATCAGTTGGATCGTTTTGGTTTAATATGCATGGCGTGCTTATCATATGCCCCTGTTTCGTCTTTCCACAGGTTACACACTCTTTGCCCTGTTTGAGTATCTAGTGGTCTTCTCCAACATGGCCTTCCATCTCACAGCAGTGTGGGACTTCAAGAGCCGAGAGGTCATGATCGTTTCATCCTCTGAAGATAAAGACTTCTGACTAAAACTCAAGGACTAAGTGCTAAATGTACTACCACTCAACCACTTGATGGCAACAGCCTTGATCCTGCTCAAGAGGAACAATGGGATGAAGGCCTTTTTCATATATTTCCAATGTGAGTCCTTAGAGGGCGTAGATGTCAGACAAGTCTGAACAAAATATATGCACATGTGCTCCTGATTGGTTATTCAGTTAGCTGTAAGTGCATTTTTTTTTTTTGCCTCTTTGTCTCATTCATGGATGCCTTCACAATACATACAGTAATGTATTTCTGTAATGTGAAATTTCAACTTTTGTACAATTTAAGAAAAAAGTGTGGTTATACTGTATGTGTGCCAAAGTAAAGTGACAGTTCAAGTCTTCTCATCTTTCATTTTGAAATCCAAAACTGTTGTGAAAAGACTTTGTCATTCCTCATAGATTAAGATATCAATTTATAATAATATCCAACATCTGTACTACATAAGGCTCTGATGCAGGTAGTATGATCACACTTTGGTTATGTGCCCTAAAGGTTAATGCTGCTGGATAAAAACCAAGTGGGCATGTATAAACAGAAAATCAGTGTAATGCTTCTTTATTGGTTAACACAGTACTTACAGCATATACATTATTATACTGTTATTTTATGCACCACTGTGCAGTATCTCCATCCTTATGAGCTAGTAATGTAAATCCACTCTAAATACAATGTTTAGATATGAGTTTCATCCCCCCACCCCACCCCAGAAATCAACACTGATGATGCAAGTACTGGCCAAGCACTAGCAAGACGGTGAATCAGACTAATTTACAACAGAACCCAGTAAACAGCACTTCTACTTTCTACTGTTCTACTCGCTAGCGTGCTCCAACATACAGAGAGCACAGACAAAGGCAGGCAAATAGGGACGGTTGACGTATTTGCATTATTACTTAGAATAGTTTCCTGATATCAGTATATAGCAATATACCAAATAATAGAAAATCACATGTCAAACACAACACTGGAACAAAGTGAGTTGCCGTAACATCAATTTGATCATTTCACATCAGACAAAACTCTTCGAATATGTCAAAACCTTCAAAAACTGCAGAATTATGTTGCAAATAATTTGTCCAATTGGGGATTAATAAAGTAAATCTTGAATCTTAATATCTCAGTATGACCATATTATCACAAGATTATGCCACAAAAAAGTAAATCAACAACATATTTGATTGTCATTTTTCACAGCAGAGACTTTAACCTGTGATTGTGGGAAAAGCACAAGCGTTACTAATAACATTAACATTGGCTGTGTTGCGTTCAAGTGTCCCAATAAGCAATGACAGTGTGACACAGAGCCAGCATGTGCAATACCAAGACCCTGAAACTGAGGCAGCTAAATGTAATTCAGCCACCTGTGATTTTCCTACTTTCTGATGTTTTTGTGTTATTTACTTTTATTTATTACTTTGTATTATAAAAAAAACCACGGGAGGATCCATCTCTAAGATAAAAACAACAATGTCTACATATACATACGCACACTGCCCACTCATATATGTATACAAATACTGTATACTCGTCTACGCACATGCAGACACATATCTGTGTATAAACATGTTCACATCAGCCCATAATGATGAAAACTATTGTTTTTTGTTTATTGGTATGTTTATTACCACTATAAAAATTCAGATATAGTTATATTTGACATTTTGACCTATTTTCATATCAACTTGAGTTCATAGTGTGTAATTTGTTTCCATTTTGGGGAGTGGAAGTGTAAAAGCTTTAAGCAGGGTTGCGAGGGATTACTTTAAAATATAATCTGATTTTTTTTTGTATCCTGATTACTCAGTTACATGTAATCCGTTAC